GTGAACAAGGGCACATATCAATTGTAAAAGTTCTTGTTGCATAGTCTCCATGGTTTGGCTATCATCCCATAAATATCACTTTTACAATTTGTCCTTCAAAGGCACCCAAAGATGGTAATTGGAGGGTGTCATGTCTAGGATGTATAGAGGATGGGGCAGTAGTGTATCCAACTGATGAGATTGCCTCTGGGGTGCGGGCAAGCACTGACATGCAGAAACAGCACCTGAGACAGGTCTCTGTCATACAACGTTTCAGTTTCATGTGGAGGTTCAAACATTTGGACAAAAAAATTCTCACGGACTGCTTGTGCCTCACTTAGAACAGAAAAATTAGGAGGCATTACTTTCTGACTGAGCATCATACATCACAGCAGCCTTGTTTCCGTACTGACGTCATTGGCAGGATTTAAGAACTTGTTTCTTATTACTACTATGAGGGATCTAAATTTCTGGATTTTTCCACATAGAAACAAGCAGCCTACAATGTACCAAGCTATTGACAGCTACATGACTGATGGTACACATGGAAGTTCTTGTCAGAACAGTCAGACATGCTGCAGTAAGATAACAAAAGGTAACTTAAAAGTTGTGGACTCCAGCATTGAGAAATGTGGTAATCTTCTACCATGAATTAGAAGTCTTTCTTCTTATAGCCTGAGGAGAATTCAGCATCTCTGCTGGGGTATGATAACAGAACCAAAACCACTTACAAGTGGAAAGATTACCTGAGCCATCTTTATTTCAGTATCTAACAGCAAATGCCATTGAACAGTTCATAGACGAGGTTCCTTTAACTCAGTTCATCTTTGACTGATTAATGAATCAGCATTTTCATGACCAATCACAAACCTATCATCCTCCACAATGAAATTAATTTGCATCCAACTGCCTGGTCATGATGAGGTAAACACAGCCAAACAAGAAGCCAAATTATAAATCCAAGTATACACTTTAATCAAAGTATTAGCAGAGAGTACAATTTACAATAAAGTATTTTTTCACAAGGTACAAAAAATACATAATAAATAAAATAACTGTCCTTTACAAATATGGTACAGGTGTTGCTTACTATATACCCTATAATGCACTTCTCTGTCACAACACCTCGCTCTCCTCCAGGATTAAATTACATATTCTGTGAAGGGTTCTCCTTCAGGAACAGGAGAGTATTTGCAGAGCAAACTGTCAGCCAAAATCATGATATAGTGACGATGAGGGTAGTGACTGATGAAAGGATCGTGTAAACATATACATAGCTTCACTTACATGAGTAGTGAAGATACCAATATGTAAGTGCATAGAGGATCAGGGTTAAACCAAGACTGAACAGTTCAGTTAAACATAACCTCATGCTCCTGAAGTGCCCCAAACTTTGTGACTGTTTTTAAAATAAGAAGCAATATTGGGGTCCTGCACTTCTGGCTGATTGAGTCTCACGTTCAGAAATATTCTGACTACAGCAGGCAACGGAAAACAAATTTTTTAGACAGAAATGGAAGATGAATAAGTTATTAATTACCAGAATCTATACAGAAATGCATGTGGTTCAGTAAATCGTGTTGCGTTTTGTTCAAACAAAAAAAAAAAATCAGCCGTCAATGGGAAGCCAATCACTGGTAAGATACCATAATCCTTCTTCCTTTTGCCATGTCCAGTCTTCTCCTGAAGCACATTTGCTCAGTCATTTTATAAATGATTCTTCTCTGAAGAGCAAAGACCTATTTTAAAATACAAAACACTGGACTAATTGCCACAATGCATCTGCTGAAGCTGATGCAAGGGAGTCTGGGTTACATCCAAGTAGTAGTTCGAGAAGTAAAAGCTGGAACAACAGTATAAAACAAAATCTGACAGGCCCTGAACTAGAAACAGGTATTGATACAGACAGAAAACGTACCATTGGGATTATGGTAGAAAGGAAACAGACTTCAAACCTTTTCCTTCCAAAAATCAATCTTCAATATTAAATGATTCATGGAACTTTTTTGCAATCTTACTTCTGTACTCTACTTACTCAATCC